AGGAGGAAGAGGAGGAGGAGGAGGAGGAGGAGGAGGAGGAGGAGGAGGAGGAGGAGGAGGAGGAGGAGGAGGAGGAAGAGGAGGAGGAGGAGGAGGAGAAAAAGGAGGAAAAGAAAGAGGAGGAGGAGGAGGAGGAGAAGAAGACTGAGTACTGGGGACAGGAAAGAGAAAGCAATGGAAGTCCAGGGAACCTATTCAAGTCGGGCAGAGAGACAACCAGAAATATAACAGGAGGATAAACGATAATGAAAGAAGGTAGTATTAAGTACAGAAAGCATATCTATAAATACAAAACAGGATGTAAGAAGAGATTGGGCCGCAGAAAACAGGTGCTTCACTAAAAAGCAGTTGTGTATAATCTGAGGCAGAACATATACAGGGTATGTAGATGAGGAAAATAATCCAGAATGTACCCTGTTGGGATAGCCGACCGGCCAGGATGGGAGGTTCAAGAGATTACTGGAGGAGAGGTACAAACAGCTTTGGGGAAAGAGTAGAATCCGCAGACGGGATCCACAGGAAGCGGTGGGTTTGAAATAAGTGGGAAGATGGAGCTAAGACTAGGGTGTATGGAAATCAGGCGCCGGAAGTATTGAGATAGTAGCAAAGATGGAGAATACGAAAAATGGGGAAAGAAGAATCAGGAAAAAAAGAAGCGAGAAATGAATAGAGATGGAGAGTGGACGGCTCTAGGAACTGGGGGATTGGGAGTGGGGAAAATGGAGCGACTCAATCCAAGGAGCGCACCGCTTAGACCAAAAGGCGGCTATAAAATTGAAAAGGAAGATGGGGAACCAGGGACACAATAGCCAAAAAATAGGGGAAGACAGTACAGGAAAGAAAAGAGGCAGAGGGCAGGGCAGGGGCGAGAGAGGAGAGGACAGAAGGGATGGGGATCACGAGCAAGGATGGCAAACTGAATGAATAGGACCGGCGAGGCGAAAGAAGAGGCTCCAGGCGGTGGTAGAATGCGGGGGAGGCGCAAGGGAGGCGGGAGGAGGGAAAGAAAGGCGGGAGGAAAAGTGGGGAGCAAGAGGGAGGGGGAGGAGAGGGAGCCCAGGCAAAGGCAGTCAAGCAGGCAGGGAACGGACCTGCCCTCGTCTCACGCCTCACTGCCTCTCGGTGCGCGCGGTCTGGAGACACTCGCGAGTCAGAGACAGTGGCCACTTTCCTCCCCAGCAGCAGGAACGCACGCAAGCATTCGGGGAGTCCTTTGCAGCCCATTTCCCCAATCAGGACATCCACTTCCACGGTAGCCCCTCCAACACCTCACTCCCTTCTCCCCTGTGCCCTCGGTCAGGGGCCTTGGCTGGAGGGTTATCCAAGTCTGCGTGCACGATCCCCAGGTCCCTCTCCATCCGTCTCTCATGGGCTCTCTAGAGAGCAGGGGCTCCGGGATGAACCTCTGAGGGTCTGGGCCACTTGTACTACTGCAGGGACCTCGGGTGACTTGGAGACGAGCTGTAGCAGCGGCGGCAGCGTCTGTAACCGGTAAGATAGGGCCAGAAAAGGGCTGGCCCCTTGCTTACTCTGGGCACTGAAGGCTACCGACAGGGAAATCGGTAAGAAAAGAGGTGGAGAGCGAGCCCTGGGAGCGAGCAGGTGGACGAAAGGTGAACCTTCAAGATAGAGATGCTGCGGAGAAATGCCGGGAGGGAACGGGAAACTGGCCCTCCCTGTTTTGGTTTCAGTTTCAAGGTACCTGGGGAGCTGGCGAGGGGGTTGGCATATGCCAGTTCAGCTCCATGGACTGGCAGTAGATCCATAGGCTTCCATACTCTACGTGCCTTAGCCAGGCTGAATCCCTCAGGTTAGTTTGACCATTTCATCACACTAGGACTGAATTCCATTCCTTCGCCTTCTTTGGGCTAATACCACCCGGGTGGTCAGCAGAGGTCAAGGACCTGGTCTAGGACTGGGAGAGGGGCTGGAAGGTGAATGTAGAGAGAGTCAGCTTCTGCGCAGGTTGTGGGGGGAGGGAACAGGATCTTCTGGTGAACCTTCAAGGTTTTCAGGCTCTGTGCTTTTCCAATTTGGATAAGTTGTCCTGGCCGCAGAGACTAGAAGGGAAAAAGAGGAAGGAGGAAGCTGTTTCCTGGGGCGGGAATCCAGGCTTAAGGAAACATAAGAGGGGCACACAGGGATGCCAGGTGGGCAGAGAACTTATAGGTGAATCAGAAAGCCACAGACCGCTCACTCTCAGAAATTAGCTGTCAGGCAGCCAGAGGCCTGGTGGATGTAACAAACTTAAAAGGTCCAGGCAGGAAAGTTAGAACTTGTTAACTATCAACACACAAAACTTGGCTGTGTTTTAAAACTAAGAAAATGGAGAGGAGGATGTTTCCAGAAAGCCAGGGGAAGACAGATGAATATTTTATAAGTTGAAATCTAGGTACCACTTTGAAAGAGAGATATTAACAAACTCGAGCTGATCCAGATGGGGATGAGGAAGGTAGCATGGTTTGGTGTCTGGGAAACTATGCAGTTAGGTGGCAAAAAGGATGGAATACTGATGTGGAGTCAGGAAGACCTGTGTTCAAATTCTGCCTCAGACATTTATTAGCTATATGATCCTAGATAAGGCAAACCTCCTTGAACCTCAGTTTCCTCATCTATAAAAGGAGGGAGGTTGGGTTTGATTGCCTTTAAAGTTCCTGTTACCTCTAAATCCTATGCCATATGAGGGCTGGATACAAAAATTGTGACTATTAGCCTGGGGGAGGAAAAACTTAGTGGAGATGGGCATGATAACTGTCTTCAAATATCTAAAAAACTGTCCTTTAGAAGTGAGATTTGACTAATTCTGCTGGTGTCCTGAGGAGATAACTAGGAACAATGGGTGGAAATGATATTGAAGCAGATTCTATTTCCATATGAGGAAAGATGCTTAGCAATTAGCACTATTCCTATTCCCTAGTAAGTTTAACAAGCAGAGGAAGGATGATCACCTGTGGAAAATGCTGGGTAGTCACTGGGCTTAGGTTCAGGAGATGTTCCTTCTGTTACCCTTACATAAAGCTTTCTCAACCTCTCTGGATCTCATCTATAAAATTAAAGAATTGGGCTGTATGATCTCTAGGTCGTTTCCAGGGCTAATAATCTATTAATCTATGGATTCCTGCATATGTTAGGAAATAAGACTGGGAGTAAGGTTTTGTCCAACTTTGAGATTATGTGATACTAAATATTTGCTTCCCTCTCCCGGGCAGGCTAAACTGACCTTGAGAGGATTTTCAGAAATTAGTTGCCACTCTGGTGAAGACCCATTTACACTGTATACTTGGGCAGGAAAAAAAATTCTCTGCAACACAGAGGATGAATTCTATTCATAGACTAGACTGTCCCTGGGAATAGATAACACAGCCTCCCCCCCTCCACCTTGACAGCTGTTTTCATAGTAATCTATTCACTTTAGTTTCTATATTTTACTCTGTCACCTGTTCTGTGAATAGGTTTTATCCAGTAGCTAATTTGGATTCTTCTGTGGAAAACATTTAAATAGTAGAAGTAGAAAGCTTTGAAACAAAGGTATGGTTACATTAGAAGGGTCACTTTTGGCTTTAAGCTGAAGGTGTTGGTTAAACAGTTTCCCTTTGGTAAATAAACACAAGGACCTCTCAGTGTGCTGAAAAGAGAATTATTTCTTGTATTTTCTTTAGTCTCGAGCAAAATATCTTACAGTGCTTGCAAGGGTCTACTGTCGCAGAATAAAGGCTACAGAACACAGAGCTTTATTCTGTAAAGACAATAGATGAGTATGCTAGTGACAAGAATATTTCAGTAGGAGACAATATTGGAAACTGGATTCCAAATTTTACAAAACAGAAATAATCTGGATCCTAGGGAGCCCTGGATGATTCAATAACTATTGTTTGAAGAAATGTTTATTTTATAAAAGTCAAGAATGATGGTCACCTACACAAATATCCTGCTAAACAGACTGGTTTAATATGAAAATATTTATTCTAATCTTGAAGATTATTTCAGATAAGCTGAAAGGAAAAGAGGAAAAATGTGACTCTATTTTTTGGTATAAAATCCAAGTTTTTCCTATGCTAAGGTTTTAATTTTCTGTTAAAATTAAAGACATTGAATTTGACAAGGAGGCATTTAGGCTATGCCGTTTTTCTAAAAAGAAATACAATCTGTTTTAAAGACATAAACCACTCAATTTGTTTAAGGTAGTTTAGTTTTTTTACTTTCAGTTTACGCTCATCCTTAATCATCATTTGGCTTATCTCATGTTTAAGGTCCAATGATGGATATATCTTCATATAAATAACCTAGGACAAATAATCACAATTTTTAAAAAAAAATTAGATTTGTAATCTGAATGTGTTATGGGAGAAGTATAATGAGTGCATTAATGGAAAATATTTTCAAAGGAAATATACATGGAAAAAATGATATTGGGTTTTTGTTTTTAAATCACAGTGTTGCTTCTTTTAGATAAAGTAACAGAAGTAATTGTGGATGTAATCTTCAGTGACCTGAATGATATTTCCCCAGACTGTGGATTATAAACAGTTCACATATTACAACTGTAATCTATGATTTATAGGATATGTATATTATATTCTAGATCATAGAGTTAAATTCTCCTTTAATGGATTAACCATTTGCCTAAAGCTGTCAGAACTGGGAAGAAGATTTTTGAAGGGAACCAGAAATTTCATGACAAAGGAGTGGGTGAAAAACTTTTCACTTTAACAAAGGTGATTTCCTCACCATTAACTTTTTTTTTGCAAACATTCGTGATTCTGAACTTCTGACTTCTCCAGATAAGCAGGCTGTATCTATAGATAGCAGTCTTAAGGGTTAGTATTTTTAAATGGTGCTTCAGAAGATAGCTGCGCTGGGGACCAACAGTCCTCCCCATGGGCTGTAGCCATAAAGTAAAGACTGTCATTTCATTGGCAACTATAGCCCGTTTGTGAGTCTGCTTAGTATACAACCACACAGGGTCCTTTTAAGGAGAATGAGCGCCCAGTTAAGTTAAACAAGCAGTGGATTCACATAACCAGCTGTATGTAGGGACACAGCCTCATACAGACACAGCTGAAGTTTTTGCTTGGGAAGAAATGCTACCTCATTTCTGAATGCTGCCTGGCAGTGTGGCTGGCCCTGGATACTCTTCACAGGCTTCAGCCCGTGGCATGTTGTTTGAAATCTCTTTAACATTTTTTCCCTGCCCCCTTTGCTTTCCATCTCCCTCTTTCAGCTCACCAAACAGCAGATGTTTGAGGATTTTCCTCTCCTTTAATCCTCCTTGTAAGCATCACCTTTGTGTCTGTATGTCAGGAAGGTGTTCCAGGAATTCCTTCCTGGCCATCCTGGTTTGTTTTTTTGCAGGGCTTGTGGTTGAGGCTGATGAACTTTCTCAGGAAGCCAGACATGTCATCTGTGCAGGACGTAGGTTAGGAGCACTTTAGGAAATTATACTAAGTGGCTGCTTTACAGCCCCACAGTGCAACCTGAAGCTGTGTGCTTCCCTGACAAGTCAAGACAAGACAAGTCAAGTCAAGTCAAGTCAAGTCAAGAAGCATTTATTAAGTGCTTACTATATGCCAGGCACTATGGCAAAGTACTGGGAATACAAATACAAGCAGAAAGAAAGACACTTCCTGCCTTCAGAGATCTTACATTCTATTGGCAGAAGACAACACATAAAAGATTGTAGATGGAAGTCTGGGAGGTGAAAAGAGCAGCTTCGTGGAAGGTGGATAGGGTAGGTGTACAGTTATCCCTTCCACATCGGGACTTTCACCATCTCAGTTGCAATATATCTTGGGTTAGCATAAGAAATTAAATGGGAATTTTGAGGGAGTTTTGCAGAAGCTGCAGATGACATGCAAAGGCCAGCAGATGACACAAAGAGTTAAAACTCAGAAATGCATAAACTACACGTATAATATTGTATAATACCAACCCAAATTTTATAATATGGTACTGTAAACACACCATAAAAGAAAAAGAAAAAATTCAGGCATCTTTTCTGGTACGAAAGGAAGGTCAAATTTTTTTACCCGGATCTTCCAGATCTCGGGGGCCATCCTGGCCCTTGAACTGTGGAAGGGATAACTGTACTTCTTAAAATGGAGGTTCTGGAAGGAACTAGCCAATCAGAGGGAGGGATCACATGGGTGGAAGGTCCTTCAATGTGTGAAGTCCAGGACTGGAGGGAACTTGAAGAGTTCAGAAGCTTCTGGGGTATTGTAGAGAAAGTTCGGGAGGAAAGTCAGGAGCACAGCTTAGGGGGACCAGCACGTTCTGTCATTTCCTCTCACCTGGGCAGGTATGCTTTACAAGTTCTTCCACTATATCTGCCTCTCAATGTAATAATCAACAAAAAGGGGTTGTGATAAGAGTATGCTAAAATGTCCAATGTTTAATCAACCACCCAGATTTACTTTTTAACAGGAAGGCCAAATTTGGATTGTCCATTTCTAAATCCTTTCTCCTTACCAAGGAGGTGATGTGATGTATTGGAC